TGTACATAATTTACCCGACGTTCTTACGGTGAAGGAAAATATCGTGATGCAACCTTCACATATCAGCGAAGAAATTCAAAGATATGTGTGAAGTCAACCAACCCGCACTTGGCCAGCGTGGTTGACTATGGCCTAGTCATCCGATACATAGGGTAGACTCCGAGCCTCTCGGTGGGGACTTATAGTGAGCTGGTGATGACTATGATTATGTATAAAAATATGTGGTACTAGCTTTGGCCCGCGATTCCGACCGTGAGGTCTTAAAAAAAAGCAAGTAGCCCTATGTGTTCTTCCAAACTATCTCTAAACCCATGACAAATTTCATGCAGATCCGTTCAGCCACTTAGCAGTAGCTAATACTAAAAAAAATAACAATTTAATCTTGTTAAGTGCATTATGTAATAAAATATATGTAATTTAGGTTGTTTTTAATTTGATATACTCCCACCAACGATGTCCCCGCCCCTCTCCGTCATTTTCGATAATTTAAAATTAAAACGTCCTTTGTACAAAGAAATATTGGTTAAAGAGAAATATTAAATCGAGTTTATTTATTTTTATGTAAATTTGTGAGTATAGTTCAGTTTCAGTTAATTTATGTAATGAAGACTATTGAAGAGTTCGAAACTGTCGAAGTTAGTAAGTAGTTAGAAGATAGACAGACAGACAAAAAATGTTTAAATACGATTTTCGTTATCATCTTATCGAAAACTGGAATATTTCTTTTAATGTAATATGATGAAAGAATTATTGAAATCGGCCCAGCAGTTTTTGAGTTATTTCAATACATACTAAAATACAAATCTTTCCTCTTTATAATATTATATTAATATAGATAAGTTAATTACGCAGGTCCCTTAGACCTCCTTACATTCTTCTTACCTTTGTTATCAACTGAAAAATTGCCACAATAATTAGTAAACATATGACGAAACTGGATAAAGTGCATTTAAAATTTTACAAGCAACGTTTACGAACTTTGAATGTCTGTTTTATTACCTTTCAGTCGTTATATACCGCATTAGGTTTTATTTCAATAGATATCCGATATCGTAAAGATTCCCGGGGAAACTGTAGAACTGGACCTATTACTGGTGGTTATTTTATTGAGATAATTAACCGTAACTTGGATCAGTTAAGTTTTAGTTAAGTTAAAATGTGTGTTTTATTTTATTTTTATTTTATTTATTTACGGATAACTTACAGCTAGCTTAAAAAAATAATAATAAAAGAAACAAAAACGAGTTAAAAGAAACAATAACGTGTTAAACGAGATGTAATTTTAGAAAGAAAATGCAAGTCTAAACCAATTATTTGATAAATGAGCAATAATTTAAAATAGCAAATTTGCTCTTTTTAAATATGAGGCGTGTTTATTTTTTGATTTAGAAATTATAATTAAATTCATGTCACGTAATATGACGAACTTTATGCGGTTATACACGTGTTTACTAATTACGCGATACGCGTGCGTTAATTAATGTTATTTATTAGTTTCATGTTATGATATTCTCGGATGTACGCGTGAAGCATCGAAACCAATCTGCGGTATCAACTCACTAGTGAAGTAATGGGATTTAACGTACAAGAACATGAACACAAAAGTTGAAGAATTTGTTTAAAATATATTACGAACGAGTTTAAATAACATAAAAAGAAAAGAGTTGTACAAAAGTGGGTCTTTTTTTGATAGTCACAAGGCAAACTTATATAATACAAAAGACAAAGAACGAAAAAAGAAAAAAAAAACAGATTTTTTTTTCTGAACTGCCATTTTGAATTAAATTGAATTTTAAAATATACTTTTACTCTGCGGATTCACAATAAACGACAGCTGACTTAGCTTGACTTAACAAAGAAATACCGTTTTTAAAGTCAAAACAAAATTTTGGATTGCTAGTAATAAGATTTTATTTATACATAAATAAAGAAATTCCCAAAAGATGATTCTAATTTTTTAATATTGATTATAAGTGCTTCTGCCATATGTTTTTTTTTTAGAATTGTCAGTTAACACATTTATAATGAATATTGCAATGTTAGCTGATTCCAATGAGTACAATCTCATCAAGTTAACACCTTCAGTTCACACACACACACACATCGAAAACTAGAAAACAGAACATCGAAAGCAGAAAATCGCATATCGCTTTAATACCGGAGTAGAAATTATAGATTAAAAAGTAATAATGAATGTTTTTGACGACGAAAATTTCTAGTAAATTTTAAAATATGCCTTAACTTGAGCAAAAAGGTTACCACAGGCATCTAAGCCGCCTTTTAACGATGCTTTGCAAAATAACAAGGAAAACTATGCTTTGAACTGCTTCACTATGGAAGCAACTGTTAACAATTCTCTGTAAGGAATTTCTAGTTTGTAAATTTAATCAGTACATCTAATTACAAATACAAGTTTATGTGAAATATTTGTTACTAGCTGTAGCACGCGAGTTCGTCCACGTGAAATTAAAAATAAAGCCTATGTAACTACGCGATAACGTAGCTTTTAAATGGTGAAAGAATTTTTAAATTCGGTCCAGTAGTTTTGAGTTATTTCAATACAAACAAAAGTCCAAAAAACAAATCTTTTCTCTTCTCTATGATTTTCATATATTTTTGTTTTGACTCATACAAAAACTTTAAAACGTAATGTTTTCAAATTACAAACATTGCATTTACAAAAATATATTACCTTTGTAAAATGAAAATAACAAAACACGATCGTGTTTTAATAGCGTAAGGCTTACATAGAGAAATATCAAAATAAGTTTAACTTAAAAACAAAGGCAACTTTTAACAATCTGTATCACCAACGATCTTGTTAACTCGGAGCAGACGGTAAATACTGACATCAACGACTTCGAAATAAAATATTTCTCCTTTTCTAAATCCTGAAATGCACACATATTTCTCAACAAAAAGAAATTGCAGAAAGCAAATAACTACAAATAAGCAAATGTACAATACGACAGTGGTAGTGCCCGCTTTAACATCTTAGCACGAATCAGCCGGCACGCCCGGTGTAATACCACGACCACATAGAAGACAGGCGTGACATGGAAGCCATTCTGTGTTTCGTCTGATGAGTGTGGTGCCGGAGGCCTAATTTAAGTCTCTTTCTCTTTACCATCCTTTAAAAGGACAGGATGGGAAGCGATTGCTTCAAGATATCAAGAATAAATTACATTTTTAATATTACTAATTAGAATCGTGCAATAAAATCTAATCCCTCTTTTTGGTACGAGGTTTTATGTTTCTATTTTCTGATTGTAGTGAAGTACAGTTGCGGAAATCCGCGGTGTCCCACTTTAGGAAAAATTGCTTTGTACATTGCAACAAGACAAACTCCGCCTCTTCCTACAAAGAACTAATTAGATAGCAGTGAACGGTAAACTTTTTTGTTACTTCTTCGAACCGATACATTTGTAAGCTGCATTGTATTGATTTTCGTTCCGCGTCTCGTTTCTAAACGTTCAAACCATTGAAGCTTTTAAAGTGGGACACCGCCAGTTTCCCCGAATGTACATCGGTCGCATAAATCGCAGTCACGATGTCTGACGAACTTGTGACCGCAGAGTGCGGCTTGTTAATTACACGGCACACGATTCTAATTCCTGTTATTAGTTCTATGTTGGGATATACATGTAATTGTATATTTTACTATAACAAATACTGCCATCTTTAGACATGCTTTAAGACAAGTCTTAGAATGAGATTTTACTCTACTTTTACTAAACTAAACTCTAAGCCTATCAGAGATCCGCACTGTCGGAGTGCGTGTTGACTATGTGATTTTCATACAAAATATTATCCTGACTTTTTATAATATAAGGTGGCAAAAGAGTGAGTAGCCACCTGAATTCTTCGAGGAAGCGAAGCGGTCGTTGCCCATATATACCCGCAATTGCAGATGCGTTGCCTACCCTTATTCAACGGAGGACACGCACATAAAGAGGATATTTCCCCATCCTATACGGCTCCTCTACCGTTAAACCACTTTCCCATTACATCCTTTCCTTATATGATTGCGGGGCCATATTCATGTATTTATTTAAATTGTGTTTTTGTAACAAAATTCAACAATAATAATAAAGGGGCAAATAATAATACACCTTTAGTTGTGGTACTTAGTTCCATTAAGTAAGCAAACACACTGACAAGGCAGGTACGTCATACTTTCATAACAAAGTCACCTTGCAAATGGCGCACAACATTAAAACTCGACGCTAAGTAACTGACATTATTCAAATATTTGACTTGGCATTTCCCTGAGGGCAATTGAAATGGTGTTTTGATTTCTTAAAAGTTTTCAAACAAAAATTGTTGACTTAGGAACCCGAGGATAAACAGTTTGCAAACCTTTATTTAAAACTAGCTTTCGCCCGCGACTCTGTCCGCGTGGTATTAAAAATACCAAAATCCAGTAGCCTATAAATTCTTCCACACTATTCTTTACATCTATGCCAAATTTGATTAAGATCCGTTCAGCAGTTTAGGCTACAAACTCTAACAAACATCCAACCGTCCATCCATCCATCCATCCTAAATTTCTTCTTTCTTTCTCATTTATAATATTAGTATGACAAGTTACATAAATCTAAACAAAAAATAATCTAAAGTTGTGTTCTTTAAAAAATTAATTCGTTCGTCTGTGTGGCATTCGACTATGTGACAAACGCCTGTGTGCCATCCGGCTGATTGACATTTGACTGTGTAGCATGTCCCTGTGTGGCATACGCCTGTGTAGTATTTAAATGTGTGGTTTCGTTTAGATTTGGTGTGTTAAAGAAGGTAGTATACGCATGAGGTCGTGCGATGATTCCGGATGTGCGTAATGGGGCAAAATGATTGTTAATTTTTGAGCGATTAAAGTAACTGGCAACTAATAATTTTGAGTACTGGCTGAATGTACATCGTGCATGATAGATTTAAAGGCGACGATCGAATGATGACAGTTGTCAATGAATAGTGGAATGATGCCTTTTTTTATTATAAAAATCAATTGGGTAATCTTTGTAAATGTTTGCAATTCGATTATAGTGTGTTGTGAAGTTATCAATTAAGATGGAGTTCAACTAAGGATAGTGTTTCTAATGTAACGCGATTGATATTTCATTATCTCCGACATACGCATGCCTACAGTGGAGGATCGCTACCGTGTATATGATCTGCCTTCGGAATTGAATTCTATAAAACGCTCGTCACTCTTAACAGCAAAACACTCAATTATCGTAATTCTCTTTTTTATAATAAAAGGCAAACGAGCAAGCGGCCACCTGAATCCACCGAAAAGGAAAACGACCGCTGCCCACAAACAATTGCAGATGCGTTGCCTACCCTTAATTGACGGAGGAGGAGACGCACATAAAGAGGATATTTCACCTTCCTATGCGTTTTCTCCACAGTCAAATCTACTTAAAAAGTAAAAGTAAATGTAAATTAGAGGTTTTACTCGTAGATTTCATATCGTATTTCAAATGAAAATGGATGAAAACAATTGTGCGGGATATCTACAAACAATTCTACGAAACGCTCTCTTTGTTAAAAAAACTATGCTTCAGAGAACGAACGAAACGTAAACAACACAAAAAAGAGTTTCAAAGGGCCTTTAACAATGCATTTGGGTATTCGATAGTAGAGTATATTAACTCGCACTAAATAATTTTTAAATTTGACAGCTATTTTACTAATCTAACATTAGAAATGCGAATGTTAAGATATACGAGTATGTATTTGTTAAAGTTTGTAGCTATAACTGCAGAACGGATCTCGATGAAATTTGGAATCAATGTGGAGTATAGTCTGGAAGAACACAGCCTATTTGTTCTTAATATATTTCCATAAATAAAAAGTAACCATACATTATGACATAGTAAAGTATAGAACATATTTTTTTATTATCTTGTTCCTAATATTTATTCAAAGCGCATGTCTCTGAGATACGGAACTACGCATGCGCAAATCTCCAGTCAAAATGGCGGAAACTGACCGGCAACCAGTCTCTTGTATTGACTAATTTTGTATTCAAAGTTAATATAATTTAAGTGAATAATTGAATATAGTACGTTTTGGTTTGTAAATAATTATGTCTAAATTAGAATGGAATTATTCAAATACATTTAAATCTACTGTTATATGAAGGATGTACCGTGTTGACAGTTGTGACAATGAGTGACTCCAATTTTCTTGGAATATCTACGTAGTTTTTCAGTAACAGTTTACCGAGAATAGTGGAGAAAAAGATGATTCTCATCTCAAGCATGCAGGAAACAAATATGGAAGTCATGATTCTATAAAGGTTTAATAGGATTCACCGATAACGGATTAAGGTAACATTGATTTTAACAATTATTTTATTTTACGTTAAAACAAATGACTATGCACTATTTAAAAAGATTTGTTTTTGTTTTTTTTTTCTACTTTTTACGCAATAGAATTATGAATAATGCAACAAAACATATTTCATGGAATATTATTTCATATCCGATAATATTTTGTGCGTTTTAAATAAAGTCGTAAATAGAACTCTCACAAATAAAATTCAATTGTGTAAAAATTCTATTAAAATTTATGAAAAATTTCAAACCGTCCGCCTCTTTATGAGAATTCTTATAAAAATCTTTATCAGTTTATGAAAATAGGTCATAAACGAAACGTTAAAAATGATAACGGTCTCGCAGGGTGAAGCGCGTTTATGAGATTTTTGGCGCTTCATTTTACATACGTACAATGTACTTTGCATTCTCTATACAACGGGTATTCAAGTTTACGGCTTATTATTAAATTTTATTTGTAAATTAAATGAATCAAAGACTACATGTGCCAGAAATGCAAATGTTAAGATGGATGTGTGGGGTAACACGACTGTATAATATACGAAATGAAAATATTAGACGAAGTTTGAGAGTAGCCCCAGTAGTAGAGAAGGTAAGGAGTAAAAGGTTAGTATGGTATGTTACAAGAACGTTAGTTATTAGTGTGGAAGGGTACAACGGTAGAGGTAGACCTAAAAATAGATGGATGATTGCGTAAAAAGTGACATGATCAAAAAGGGAGTGATGACTGAGATGACATATGATAGAGTTATGTGGAGGACAAAAACCTGTCGCACCGATCCTTCGGGAGTAGGATAAGGAGGATTATGATGATATCAAAGTTTATACTTAAGGGAATGCATTCAGATGACGAGAAATAGAGATGTATGGGTTAAATATCGTAAATCAAATAACTTTATTACTGCAAATTTTCACGTTTATAGACACGCTAGTTAATACTATTTTGCTATATTTTTTAAGCATCGGTTTCCACTGACAAATACCTGCGTTAAACATTATCTCAGATCATTTCAGTGATGATAAGCATATTTCAATAAAAACTGAAGGGTGTAAGAAAAAAAATATAGTCTTTATTCACCTAAAATATTTAAGTGATATACAAACATACAAAATTTAAAATTGAAATAATTTATAGCATATGTATTCTTTCAGACTGTATTCTAAATCTGTGCCAATTTTTATCGCGATCCATTGAGACGTTCTGGAGGTACTTCCTAACAGACATCCATTTATGTATCTAAACTATTTATATTATTGACGAAGAAGTAACATTAGTTAGTTTAAGATTAGTAAGTTAGTTAGATTAGTTAAACAATTTTAAAAGGAATATTCAACAAAAATGAAACAGAAATTAAAAGATATCCTCATTAATTATCCGTCTCGTGTAAAGTAAAAAGAATAAAAGAATTTAATTCTTCGATAAGAAACCCAACAGTTATATCCGGATAAAGGATAAACGGAGAAAAGGCTCATCCCCTAAACACTTCAGCGTTTTATACCCTTTTTTAAATTGGCGTGAAAAAGGGGTTGCTTTCCTCCAAAGTATATCACGAAAGAAGCAATTATAGTGTCCCCTTTTTTCGTTTTGTTCAACGATAATGTTGTATTTTTACTCTAAGCATATTTACGAGACACCAGGATTTTTTGGTAGAAATTTTGCAAATAAACCACTTATACACGACTTTTCTGACGTTCGTAATAAATAACTTTTTAGGTTAGGAAATTTAGAGCGTGCGCACACTTTTAACTAAATTATCACACAACTTTTGTGCGTTTGTCGATTGTTTCGCAGTCAATTCAACTGTTTTGTTGTACAACTAAAAATCGAGTATTGTGCGCACCTCCATGTAAGTATGTAAGTACAGCGAGAATAGTTGTACGATCGTTTATTTTCAGGTGTGTTTACTCTCTTAACTCACAGTCGAACTCGTGTTGTAATTGTGGATTTAGTAAGAGAAATCTGTAATAAGTGTCTTCCTAAGTGATCAATTAACTATGCAGCGGTTATTTCAATAATAAAGTTTATTTTTTTAAATGTCGATCATCACCATCTTCATCCTTATAATACTCCCGTAGGGTCGGCGCGATAGGTTTTTGTCATCCAAAAGACTCTATCATACCTCATCTCAGTCATCACTCCCTATTTGATCATGTCACAAGACACATGTCTAAGTTATAAAATATCGAATTCCTATTTATTGTATATATAAAATGAATCGTATCTATAACAATAAATGTCTTCACGGGTACGAAATAAATTCAAGTTTACAGCCAATTGGTGGGTATGAATTAAGCCAATAACGCTTCATTAGACCCGTAAAATGAACCCCCGATAATGCGATCTGTAACACTATTCACCACGGATCGTTTACGACATCGGATAAAATAGAATACACTGTTTAACTGCGAAACGATAAAAGTGGACATTCAAATTTTGTATCGCTTTTGCAGTATTTCGAGTGATATATCGTAAAATGTTTGTAGTTTACGGTGACTTTGAATAGTTCCTTATTCAGACGTTAGAAAATACTGTAAATATCTTTTTAACTTTATAATCTGTGTAGGCATGTAAATATTCTAAGCTATTTTGCAGCGAAAATAAAATAATTATATTTCGTTGTCTACATCTATATATACTAATATAAAGAGGAAAGATTTGTATTTTTGTATGTATTTGAATCACGCAAAAAGTACTGGGCCAATTTTAAAAATTCTTTCACTATTAGAAAGTTAATTTATCTGTGAGTAACATAGGATATAATACATATTTTGATAAGCCTAAGATAATTATAAATAAATAATTTATTATTACTAATGTTGAGGAACTATTATTAAACAACATATTTCTGGACCACCGTGTTAATAAATCACAATGTTTTAACATTTCTTGGCTTACGCTGCCTACCTTTAGAGATATATAAAAATTATGTATAAAAGAATTGTAGATCTCAAAAAGTTATACAGAAAAGTCTGCGACATCATATATCTATCTATAACATATATCTTACAATAACCACTCTTTTGTTTAAGATAAAGAGTACAAGTACTTAATAAAATTAAAAAGCTAACAGTTATAATATAGTATATAATATAAAATGGAAATTATATTGTCAATGCATTGCTTAAAAGGACATTCCAGAACATTATATATCAGTTTATTACGACTCTACATTCGAACTTACCTATCTCAAAAGTCCGCCGTATTGTTATGAAGTTGGTCGACCGACACAATGTGAACTTGTAAGTGCTGGGACGTGAGCTACAATGATTTTCCAACATAAGGTGGAACTCAAGCGAACTTCATAATGTTTAATATGAGCGAAGTTTAGAATACCTGAGTGCTTTTTAAGCTCAAGGTTTCAAGGCTTTGGAATTAAAAAATATAGCTATTTAGCTCTTGTATTAAATTGTTTTATGTCTATGGATTATAAGCAACTTACAGCAGGCGTACACCTGCACATATTTGACTAAACTCTCACATTGTTGTGCGATTGTCGATTGTTTCGCATCCAATTCAACTGTTTAGTTGCACAACTAAAAAGCGAGTAGTGTCCGCACCTTTATAGTAGTTCATAGGAATTAAAGCGATACTACACAGTTGTCGATAGTTTAGTTTCAGGTGTGCTTATGCTCTTATTGTCGACAATTCGAATTATTGTTAATCTAGTAAAAATTTGATGTAGGCTTTAAACTAAAATTTAAATCTGTCTAGACGCATAACTTTTCGTATTACCGATATTAAAACAAAAACCGTCAAAACCGTTGAAACGGAATGAAAAATATTCGAATCCCTCTTTCCCTTTAAGTAATGTGATACCAAAATCCAATTCCAGGTGTCGCCACTGATAAAGATTTAGCATAAATCAGAGATATAATCCAATATTACCACGTTTTAGCCTCCTCCGCGCCTAATGTTCCACCATTGAAATCTCTATTTCAATTTAAACGACTTATTTCATTACACCTAGCGCTCCGATGGGTTCCCACCGAGATTCATGCCCATAAAATCTGAAATTGATTATAAATTTCACTTGAATATTATGTAGATTGTTATTTTATACCGCTACTTTATTAGGCTTCAAACAATCTTCTTTCTTTGGAAATGTCGTTGAATTAATGTCGTCATCAATCTTATCATTTTTATTATATTTATTTAACTGGCAGGTTGTGTAGAATTTAACTTTTCTGGCCCTTTTTTTTTAAATTCCAGCCAGTAAAAATTATCAGATATAAATGAAACGTGTTTAACATTTTACGACTTTTAATTTCAACCATTTACACTTAACGCGTCAAATGCTTCAGTTATATGAATGAATTTGCGATATGTTGGAAATGAATTTAATTAAATATTAAATTCTAAATGTAACATTCGATGTTCAAGATTTATTTTTTGTTTCAGATGAATAAATAATACATGTAGATTAACATTTTTAAAGGAATATGTGCCAAATTAGGGGATAGAATCAAATATGGACAAATCTGCTAAGAAAAAGAATAACACCAATGGTAAATACAAAAAAAACTGCAAAGCAGATAATTATGATGAAGTTGTAACTTGTTGTTTTTGCCTCAAAACTAAAAAGAGCAAAAAGAAAAGTTTAATCACAGGATGTGTTACAAATTTAGGAATCTTTGCTCTACTTATAATTTACACTTTAATGGGGGCGTTTATTTTTCTCGCAATTGAAGGTAGTGCTGCTAAAGTTCATCAAAAGACTCTAGCAGCTACCTCGTATCATGGAAATGAGAATCAAAAAACAATACCACTCTCAAAAGTGAACAGTAGTATTGCACAAGCGAGTGCAGAATTAAGATCTCAGACAGTTGAAAGTATTTGGGAAATAACTGTATCTTTGAACATACTGTATAAAGAAAATTGGACAAGGTTGGCTGCTCAAGAGATAGCAAGGTTTCAAGAAAAGCTTGTTGCGAGGGTCGCTGCTGACGTCACCGAGCAATACGGAGGAGTCCGAGCACTGGAGTCAGCGCCCGCTTTAATTACCGACGACTACGAGTGGAACTTTGCGAAAGCGTTTTTGTATTCTCTGACAGTGCTCACTACGATTGGTAAAATTTAATTCTGACTTTAATAATTTTACTACAAAAAATCTACTAAAATCTAATATGAGTCTCATTTTATAGTTTTTTCAATGATATGATCTTGGAAAACATTTAATTGCGCTTCTTACTTATTTTAAATATTGCAGTGTTTTTATGGACTGCTTTGTCTACGGTAGTAATAACTTAATTATGTTTGTAATGCTTTAGTATCTGATTCTATTTCAGGTTACGGCAGTGTAGCACCAAGAACTGCCTTGGGGAAAGCTGTAACAATTGGATATGCTGTGATAGGTATACCATTGACGCTTTTGTATTTATCAGTCGTCGGTGCCCTTCTTTCAAGACTTGCGAGAAGCGTTTTTAGCAGAGCACTATGTTGCTGTCTTTGCACAAAATGTGGATACTGTTGCCTCGATGAACATACGATGGCTACCAAAGAACAAAAAGGCAAGGTTAGAAGACAAGACGATTATAGAACTCAAACTCTACATTTACAAGAACCGTATTATGTTCGGTCGCCTTCGGGTACTATTATATCAGCTTCCCAAGCAAACAGTTTAAGCACAAATTCTGTCAAGGATAAGACACAAGGACTAAGTTTTCTAAGAGACTGTGACTCCATGAGTTGTACCGATACCGATTCAAGAGTTTCTCTCCGTGGTCTTTCAATTCTTGCCCCCATTTCATTGTGTCTGGCAGCGATATTTACTTACATATTTTTCGGTGCGTTGGTTCTCTACCAACTGGAGGGATGGAGTCCTATCGATGGCATATATTTCTGCTTCATGAGTCTCAGTACTATCGGTTTCGGTCATTTGGCACCAGGAGTGACACAGAAGAATGGGGCATCTAGCGGTACTGTGTGGTTCTGTTCCATTTACATAATGACTGGTCTGGCTCTGACTGCGATGTGCTTTAACGTTCTCCACGATGAGATAGTTCATCGTCTGAGACATCATGAGAAGATGTTGAAAGTGACATCACAGAAAATGTTAGCACCTGAGTTCTTACAGAGGTCTTGACGGGACGACAGCATGAATTTGACAGATGAAACATTGACAAATTCAGATAATGAAACGCTACCAGAAATGTTACAGCATGTATCTAGCTCAAAGTGTGAGGGTGTTTTCCGTAGATCAGTGTACATGGTCAAAGAAGAGAATGAACCAGAAGAAGGTGTCCTAATGTAATTAGATGTTTTTAATATTACAATAATAATCATAGACTTTTGTATTGATACTATTGAGTTGGTGTGTGAAAATATTTGTAATTTAAGGTATTTCTGATTGTCTCAAGGGATATTATAGTAATATGGAATGATTTAAACTTGAATACAATTATTAATCAAGTAAGGAAATGACTGAATTGTTTGATTACGATGTTGATATGAGTGGTGATTGTATAATCTAATGAAATAAATGGTTTATAATTGGAATATTAAACATTGTTATGAACAAATTTGTGTGAACGCTATAATAGTTAAAGTAGTTGTAAGAACTTATTTATTTATAAATGTTTATTTTAAAAATATCAATGGAATTAAATGATCGGCTGAAACTAATGTAGAATTAAGTACTTTGGGATTTAATTTTGTTTGTTAGATGATAAAATACCCTAAAATGTAGTAACGTTAATTTAAATTCTGATATACAAAGTTATCAAAAACTTCGAAATGAGTAACATTAAATTATATGAAATTTTAACTCTTTTATTTCATATTCATTTTAAATTTTAAACCTTTTTAGTATATCCTCACATCCTATAACACCATCGACTTGTAAGAAAATCGTAATAATTGCTGATTGACTACGTAATAAGTATAAGGACTTTCAAATAATATCTATACTAGTATTATAAATTGTATTTTTTTATGTATCTATGTATTGAAATAAGTCAATAACTTATGGGCCGATTTCACAAATTTTCACCATTAAAAAGCTGCGTTATAAAAGAATAAGTATAGGCATTTTTCTCAATTTCACGCAGGCAATTAGCTGTTGCTAATTATTAATAACTACAATTTGTTTCACTTCATGATAACTAGTTAGCGCAAAATTACGTATAAACCACCATTAGTCCATTCTGTTCCAAGATCAAAGGAAGGACAACGTATAAACTTAATTGCGGTCCCGCATGTTAACTACCCAAAACATTCAAAATTTCGACGAATAGTCAAACGGTCAGTTTCGGGACCCTTTGAAATTAATTTATATTAATTTGCTTTTAATTTTGCGTTCGTATCAATATAAATTTACTATAATTTTATGAATGTATTTCAATGATATTTGGTATTGCTGTTGAGTGTAGAGAATAGTCTGAAAGAACACGTAGGTTACTTACTTTTGTTATTTTAATTCCACGTGTACGGAGTCACGGGCGAAAGCTAGTATACAAATATTTTTGTAATGATTGTTTGGTCCTTTAACTTAAAGGTGGTGTTGGTGTCGTTAAGGGGTTATGAGTAAAGTTTGATTTAATTAACGTAACTCTAAATATTGCTCGTTACCGCGATGACGCAGAGTTAAGAGTTGATATTTCTGGCATAAAGTTAATTAAATAAAATTATGTTTGCGCCGGAATTAGGCTCGGGAAGTGGAAATCTTGCGGTATAGTTGGTTAATGAGTTTAAAATTTTTAAAGTGGTTTAAATTTGGCAATTTTAAAAAGATATTCCTATAGTTAAGTTATGGTTAAGTTCAGATTAATAATTCGAAATTATTAAGGGATTAAATTCAAGATTCCAGAAGGTCATCAATAAAATGTCTTTAGAGAATGTTTGATAATCCTCTTTCGATGTAATAAACATTACTATTAAAACTGAATAATTTTCAATTGAATACTATAAAGGTTTTTGAAGATGTTTATAATTTTTTTTTCATATATTACACACATCTTGAGGTAAAATTTTTTCGTCTTAGATGTTTTTTTTTATTTTTTAAGTTTTCAAAGATAGAAGCAGTTTGAACATTTTTGATAAAAAAATAATGTTTTCCTGATTGCCGTCGGGAAGATATTAATTTTTAATTGCTTTCCGAAGTCTGCGCCCGTCAGTTGGCTGAACATAAATTGATTCCACAACTTTCATGAGCGCTATTAAATTAAACAAAAAAAGCACGTAGCCTTTTTATTTGTTAAAATGAAATTGGTTTGTACGTAATGTTTTAAAATCTTTAATTTCAGTATTTAATAACTAATATGTTTAGGTAAGTCTTCAAATGAATACGATAAATGAAAATTATCGGTTTATTTTATCTTTACTAATGTCATAAAGAGGAAAGATTTATATTTTTTTATACATATTGAAATACCTCGAAAACTACTGGGTCGATTTCAAAAATTCTTTCACCAATTACTAAGCTACGTTATCAGTGATTAACATAGGTTATATTTTTTATGATGTTTAAATTTTACGCAGGCGAAATAGCGAGCAACATCTAGCGTTTCGTTAAGAAAGACCGTTAAAATATATACATGATTTCGCTAAGTTTTCGTTTGATGACTTTGATGGATGTGTACTGGTGTACATTTTCTTTGTTACACTTGATGGATCGACATAAAGAAACATTCTAAGCCAAAGCAATCAAAAAGATATTGCATTGTTTTTATAAAAAAAAAGAAATCGTGTACTTTGACTGTCCTTTAGTTTCTCCTCTATTGACTGTCCTTTAAGTTTCTTTTTTGTGGTTAGTGTAACAAAACAAGGAAAGCAAATATGAGTATTTAAATAAATTACTACATGCACGCATACACGCATTTGTAGTTCCTCTGGTGTTGCGGATGTCCATGGGCGTCGTTGACCACTTTTGTGTTCCCGCCGCTCGTTTGACCCCCTTCTCATATAAAAAAAACATAGTTTTTAAAAAAGTGTACCATATGCTACGAGTACTGCTGTTTTATTAGATTTTGTGGTAAAAGTATGCGAAATATATTTACTCTTATCTCTCTATTAATGTACATTCGTTTAAAAAAGTTTTTGCTGTGCATCAAATAGTATTTGTCGACATGCAAATAACATTTAAATTTTTATAAAAACTTAACAACTTCGTAATTCATTAAATTTAACTTACCGACATTTGAAGATGGGAAATGTTAACCATAATGTCTAAATGTTTTTGGTTCAGTTTTGATAGTAAACATTCTAACAAAATACAAAACTCCTGTGGACTAGACAAGAAACAATCCTATTTTAAAAATGCACGTTAAAGTGGAATGCAGATAAACGTAATACTTAGCTACGAGCACTGAATAAAAATGTGACTTTGTGTCTCACAAAGGATATGTAGAAAATGGTCTCCTTTTAAACTATGCAGATGTTCGTTGGACTCTACATTATTAAGTTTATTCCTTTGTATAATAATAAAGTAATTGAAATTAAAAGGAAAGAAAAATGTTGATATTTTTAAAATATAAGTCTATCTCTGGATCTACTAATTTGAGCTCGATGCTCAATACAGATTTAAAGGTTTTAATAACCTTGTGTGCACTTTTGAAAAATAGATTGATCAACACATAAACGATAGATAAGCTTTTTCGATTGAAATCATGCTAATTATTCTTATACTAACACTAGCTTTCGCCCGCGACGCCGTCCGCGCAGAATAAAAAAAAACAAAAGCGAGTAGTCTATGTATTCTTTAAGACTATCCTCTACATCTGTGCCAAATTTCATCGAGACCTGTTCAGCCGTTTAGGCTACAAACTCTAACAAACATCCATCCATCTAAATTTTCGCATTTATAATATTAGTATGATTATAAATGCGAAAGTTTAGATGAAAAGACGTTTGTTAAAGTTTCTAGCCTAAAACGTTCAACGGATTTCGATGAAATTTGGTACAGATGTAGATAGTCTGGAAGATTACGTAGGCTCACTATTTTTTTTTAATTCTACGCGAACGGAGTCACTGGCGAAAGCTATTTTTATATAACTCTATAGTTTATTAGACATAATAAAAATTGGTCTTGTGGTCAAGCTGGTTATATTTTATTTATTATTTTTTGTCGCACGTAACTTCTGGAAGTCGTGACGTTTCCATTAGGATAATAAGGCTTTTCTACATATACTTTATTTATTAGGACTTCATGTAGCGACCACTCACATTTATGTATTAACTCAAAGAGAAATGTTTCAAGATGTCCAACAATCCTGTTTTATTGATATAAAGTTTTGAAAGTTTTTCTTTATTAACATGCTTCATTCATCCAGTAAATTGAAATCAAATGGTTTATAAGAGCGGGCGCACGCCTTTTACTAAACTATCGCACAACTGCTGTGCGATTGTCGATTGTTACGCCAATTCAATTGTTTAGTTGCACAAATAAAAAAAACGAGCAGTTTACGTACCTCCATATAAAATCGTAGGAATTAAAGCGCGAGAAAACAGTTGTTCAGTTTCTGGTGTGTGCATGCTGTAATAGAGATTTTGTGATCAAATGTTGATTTTTATCAATTTGAACCTTTTTTTTTAACAAAAAATTGAAATGACAAAATTGTCAGTCACTTAAATGTAATTAACAGAAACTCAAACTATTTTGTATGTTATTTATTTGCAAGTGGAGTTAATGTTGGTCGTTTATTGCAGCCTTTGTGTGACGAGTCTGCGGTCCCTTGAATTCCAGGCCCTCCTCACAAGAGAATTAACTCCGCCTTTCCCTAGTAACGTATCTTTATTTTCTCTCTTAATAAAATATAATCTAATAATATTTAATATTATATTGCTATGATCGTGAAACCAGAAAAATATAAATAAGATATGTCGAGTACTTTAAAGCAATTCAATACTTTTGAAACTCGAAAACAATGTAATTTTACTTAAAACTAGCTGTTCCTGTGCGGCTTCATCCGCATGAAATTATACAAAAAATATTTTATTGTTTACATTTGTCAAATTATCAATAGCAAATGTCAAAATGACATGACATGACAAACCTTAGCAATCTTGCTTCCTTGATGTTGGCAGCAACTTATGGTCTCTATCCCACATTAGGGTTTTTATTCAAAATATTTACACCATAAGTTTAATGTCGTAAAAATATATAGCCTAAAGCGTGACGTAAGTGTAGGGCTTTTTATTAAAAAAAGAAATATTCAAAATAATGTTGTAATTGCTGACATCTTAGGCAACAAAGAAGTATGTGTTTACGCTTTATTATAATAGTATAGATAACATTAAGGTATTATATTTATGCGTAAAAATAATATAAAGGAAATAAAAGGAATGTAAATCTATAAATCAATGTGTTTATATCTTAATAGAAACTTATTTCGTGAACGTTTTCTTAAAGCTATGACTTTGTATTCTTTATTTAAATCTATAACCTTAACTTTTTAAGCTTTAATAACCTTAATTGATAAGCAATAACATTATAAAAACAAAGATATTAAACAGTAAAACGCGCAGCAATATATAATAATAGGCAAAAAAAAGGGGCGAAATGTTTGTTAATTTTTGAACGATTAAAGTTACTGGCAACTAATAATTTTGAGTACTGGCTGAATATGCATCATGCATGATAGGTGTCAAGCGGCGATCGAATGATTAATGACAGTTGTCTTTAAA